GCCGACCACCAGCGCTCTCACTCCTACTGCCACACACGCTCCGCCTACCACTCCTTCTGTATCCTCACCCGCACTCGCTGCACCTCCTCCCTCCTCCACTGGACATAATGGTTGGTCTTCATTAGCGGTAAGCTTAATTCTTAATTGATTTATATCCTGACCATTATGCTTTGTCTTCCCCTTACCTGAGCAAGTGGAAACTTGAGAGGTTGGTGATCTCATGTTATGTTGACTACCAGACATCCCATCTCATTGCTCATTATGGTTACAAGTTCATTATGGTATAAGTTAACTTATTTCATTCTCCAGTTGGGAACAGCCAGCAGGAAAAGAAGAACAACTAAGTACTGAACTGAGTGAATTCTGGATTATGAATTAGACATCAGTTTCCTTCTAGCGTAAGATCTGTGAGTAGCAACTTGATGGTTTTTTACTTACTCTCCTTTGCCTCGAAGTCTTGAGGTCGACTTTTGAGCTATTACCTTTAGGTTTGTAGACATGAATTTTATTGACCCCCCAAATTAGCAGATTAGTGGAATTATATGTAAATGTAAATGTATATCAGCTCATGGTCTTTTGGGTTGTACTGGTGTTGTATGGAGTATGTCATGAAGATGGAGCCAGTGGAGAGTGCAAAAATAAAATGGATGAGAACTTCTACAATGTTGAAGGCCTTAATTTGGATACTAAGATTATTGGGTATATTAATTTAGTTGTGTAAATAGTTGATGTGGATGACAAACATTACAACAAGCTTGTTCTTATTATATTTCTGGTATTTTTACTACCATATATTTACGCTTTGATTTGATATAACATATATTTAACAGGTTCAAATGAAAAGCTACATGTTCACTTGAATGTTAACAGGAAAAGCTAATACTTAACATGTATATTTTACAAGTTAACATATTCAGTTGCATGTTATCATGTTATAAAGAAGCTAACATGTAACAGTAAAAGTTAACATATTATGCTGAAAGTTAACATATTATGCTGATAGTTAGCATGCAGAGATAAAATATAACATGTTCATAAGAAAGTTAACATATACAGATGAAAGTTAACATATACAACTGATAGTTAACATGTTCATGTGAACGTTAGCATATAAACCTAAACGTTAACATATACACCAGAAAGTTAACATATGCAGATGAGAGTTAACATACTCACGTGAAAGTTAACATGTTCAGGTTAAAGACAATATTTTGACTTAAATTTAATATATTCAGCTGAAAGTTAACATCTTCACTTTAAAGTCTACAGAATTTGAAAGTCAACGTTAGCATATAAAGTCTACAGAAGTCGAGTTATTAAGTCATATGTTAGGTCATACATTTCTCAATTATTAAGTCATGCCATTTTTAGAGAAGTTCCGCATAAATCCATAATAATTAATAAAAGTGGATATTAAACTTATATTTTAAAATCCAATTTAATCGGATCTCGCAAGTTTGTTTGTGTTTCATCAAAGTTGTAATCTATGAATTTGTAAGAGATGAAATCGAGATATTACCACCAAATACTAATAAAAGGAATGGAAGAAATAGAGCTAGACGTATAAACAACAGAATAAAAGGAAGAGATTTGACAAACATTCCATGTTCTCATGCTATAACTGGTATTTTTGTCACCATATATTTACATTTTATTTTGATACAACATATATTTAACAGATTCAAATGAAAAGCTATATGTTCACTTGAATGTTAACAGGAAAAGCTAATACTTAACATGTACATTTGATAAGTTAACATATTCAGTTGCATGTTATCATGTTATAAAGAAAGCTGAATATAATAGTAAAAGTTAACATATTATGCTGAAAGTTAACATATTATGTTAAAAGTTAACATATTCAGCTGATAGTTAGCGTGCAAAGCTGTAATATAACATGTTCATAAGAAAGTTAACATATACAGATGAAAGTTAACATATACAGCTGGCAGTTAACATGTTCACGTGAAAATTAACATATACACCTGAAAATTAACATATACACTTAGAAGTTAACATATACAGATGAGAGTTAACATGCTCACGTGAATCAATTTTCACCAAAAAGTTTGTTGGGTTATGCTTTCTACAAACAACCTGAAGATTCTGAAGCAAAGTGAGAATCCCTCTTGGTCAAAGAATGGAGATTGTTTACATTCACAAATGCCACACTTATTTGGACTAATTCATAAAGAAACACGAAATATAAGTCATCTAAACTATGATGTGTTTCACATAAATAGTTCATGACCTGCATATATGTTCAATGTCAACGTTTCTAAAGTAGTTCACAAACTCTATGTTCAATGATAAGACCACAGATCAACAACAATTGCCATAGCTGGGGAATAAAACATGAACAATCCATGGACCTAATATCTGAATGGCAAGTAAGGCACAAGAAAAATGATAAAGCACAAAAAAACAATAGCAAGAGATCATCATCATCAAGCATGGTGATGGCGAGCAGGAAAGAGAGGGGGATGACATCTCATCAGAGGTCTTTTACGAGGAGGTGTGCTTCATTGATGAAGGAGCAAAGAGGCAAGTTCTACATCGTTCAACACTGTGTTACAATGCTCATTTGTTGGAGGGAGTATCTGTAGATATTTTGATTCATTATTAATTAGAGTTTTTTTTGTTTCCCCTTTCCTTCTCCTTTGACCTCCTCTCCTCCCTCGTCTCTATCTTGAACACCATTGGTTCCTCCTTGTTCACCGCCAGCCCCCCCTGTAGTTCTCCGGCTTGATCGAGTCGAATACGAGGATGTTAGCGGCGGGGAACTAGGAGAGCAGTAGCTTGGAGATGGCCTTGAAGCGGCTAGGGCTAATGTGGCAGGGGACGAAGGCGATTTGGACGGAGGGGTTGTCGGGGAGGGAGAAGAGGTTGATGGGGGATGAGGAGGGAGAGGGAGAAGGCGACACCGCCAGTGAAAAATAGGTTGAGGGAAGGGACAGAGGTTATGAGTTAAGGGGAAAATTTTTTGGGTGAGACATGAGGGCATTTTCAGTAGCTTATGGAAATTAAATACATTGAGTACATGTATATTGGAGGCTGGGGCACACTTTGTAGTCTTTTTTTGGGGCTAAAGAGTAAAGTAAAAAGATTGGGGGGTTGGGTCATATCCAGTTTATTTTTGGGGGGCTTTGACACATTTTTCCCATAAAGTTATTTTTAAAAATTCTCCAAATAAGTAATTCCCAGTGATGCGACCCATGGGCATGGCTCCATAATAAAGCAAGCCTCCACAAAATAGTCAAACCAAGAGTGAAGCAATTAAAGCTCACTTCCCAAAGCTCAGATTCCTAGCATTCAAACCTCCGCAGCCAAAAACGCCCCCAAACCCTAGCCCTTCAAAAAGAAAAAGAAAAAGAAAAATTCTCACTCTGATTGAAGGTCATCAATGGCGATAGAGCCGCAGCAGAGGCAGCATTAACTCCACTGCCAGAAGAGCATTTACTCATCTTTCCTCCATTTTCTACGTAAGGATCTTCAAACAACGTTCAAGCCTTCTCTTTTAAATACACTCATGTACTTGTTCATTTATCTCTCTCCCAGCTTGAATTCAGTTGATTTGATTGAGAGAGAGAGAGAGAGAGATAAGAGACAGACATGGTGCTGATTTCGAGCTGATCCCTGTGTTGTGGATCCTGGCATTTAATTGAAGAGATCTTGTTTCTACTGTTGCTGTTATAAAGAAATAAGAAATCCATCAACGCCAACTTGTTAACTATTTATTTTTTGTAGGGTTGTGGTTGTGATTGAGATGGGGAGGAGTCCTTGCTGTGATAAGCAACTGGGGTTGAAGAAAGGGCCATGGACTCCTGAGGAGGATAAGCTTCTTGTTGATTACATCCAAGCTCATGGCCATGGCAGCTGGAGATTTCTCCCTAAGCTCGCAGGTTTTTTGTCTCCCCCCACCCCCCAACTGTTGGGTTTTTCTTGCGTTTTCCTTCTCTGTTGCATGTTTCAAATCAAAAGTTGACATTTTCTTTGAGGAAAATTTCAAATTTTTTGAGTATATTTACACAATGGTAAGTAGTAACATTCATGAATTTTTGCGATAAAAATATTGTTTCTTGTTTTTTTTTTGGGAAAAAACGCTAAAATCGGGTAACGTGGGTGGCAAGCAATTGCTTTGACCAAGGTCCCTTCATTTCATGAGTGTGAGCGATGGGTTTACTTTTTATTTATTTGTTTATTTTTTAATTTACTATTCTCAGTCGGATTCGCCTAAATACCTGTTGGGTCAGAGCAGAACCCAACCAGCAATAATGTCAACCTTTATTTATATACTTAAAAAAGTTCCAACCTCACAATTTTTTAAAAAAAATAAAGAGCCTCAAGTCATTTGTTATTGTTTATTTCATGTGAATCCCTCTTCAGGGAATAAATCCAAACAATTATAAATTGCGTATAATTATCTCATGAATGCAGGCCTGCAGAGATGTGGGAAGAGCTGTAGACTGCGCTGGATCAACTATTTGAGGCCGGACATCAAGCGAGGCCCATTCACACAGGAGGAACAGAAGTCCATTATTCAATTACATGGCATTGTTGGTAACAAGTATAATACCTTCCTCATTTATTTCTCTTTCCGTCTTAAATTTATGTAGTACTAGGGCCCCTCTAATCTTGTACATCCCAATTTAATACCATGCACGCCTAAACCTAGACTTGGGCCACACAGGAATTGAATGGTGAGTAACTTTTGCTTATATGACCCTGCCAATGCAGTTATTTACATTTATTGCGTGGAAATTTGTTGCATGTTTTGATCTCAAATGGTCACCTGGACTGAATCTGTAAATGTACTATAGTTAATAGAAATTAGGCCCATAAAGTGAAAGTGAAGTATAGCAAAAGTGTGTGTGAAGGGAATATTTTTTTTTGGGACCACAAAATCATGTTACCGGTCTCTGATCATGTGATGTTGCTTCACTGATCCTTTAAGATATTGGATTATTTTCATTGAGTTTTTGCTATCGGGAGTTCTTTTAACAGCAAAAATGTAGAAGTTATTGGCATATTATTATTTTTTATTTTTCATTTGAGATAAATCAGAGCCATCGTTCTTTAAATGTAAATATATCTAAGTCAATCCTGTTTACCCGAAAAAATTATTATTTTCATATAAGCTATATATCAAGTTCTTTCAAATTTTGTCTATTCCTGTAGTGATGTAGCTTATGAAGGTTTAAACATTTAGTATAACGATTTTAAAGCTACACTTATCTTTTTTTTAACAATATTTTGTAGGCATAAAGAAGATTTTAATCCAAATTTTGAAATATTATTTGCCATTGGATCAATGAGAATACAAAAGTTATCAGAACATTTTATGCGGTTGGAAGGTGTTCTACACCATTAAATGAGGCATTTATTTGAAAATCTGAGTTGAGTTGTGCTACTATTTATACTATAAACTTGATTTTAAAGTTTGGGAACTGAAATTAAAAATCTAAACTAGTAGATGTGATCTACTACACATGAATGCTTAAAAACAAAATTTGAATTTTTTTATGTGTTTTGAAATGTTAGTTATATGATACATTAATTAATTAATGACGCTGAACGCTGTGAATATTAATTTCTAGATGGTCCATGTGTAGGAGATCACATCCATCGGTTTGGATTTTCAAATTCATATACTAAACTTTAAAACTAATAGTAGCATTCATCAGTTAGTATTCGCATTTCCGAACCTACTAGAAAAATGTCTTAGGGACCCAAAAACATGGGACCCTACATGGGACATGTAAGGTGTCGGATCCATGTCCCATGATGTACTGTTCATGAACAGAGCATCATGGGACAGGGAGCCGACTTCTCACCTGTCCCATGTAGGGTCTCATGTCTTTGGGTCCCTGTAGCATCACCCTTGATACTATTAATTAATAGGGGCATAGCTCAATTTTTAAAATTTTATATATCACTATCAATAACACATAGAAAAGTCAATGACCTTTGACCTTAATGTTTGTTGCTTGCCTGCTGAAGGTGGTCAACCATAGCAGCTCAACTGCCAGGGAGAACTGACAACGAGGTAAAGAACTACTGGAACACCCACCTCAAGAAACAACTCCTCCGCATGGGCATCAACCCTACCTTAACCTACGCCCCTCCCTCCACCTCCCCTCTCTCCCCTTCCCCTCCCAACTACACCACCTCCGCCTCATCCTCCTCCACCACCTCCTCCTCCTTCTCCGCTGCCCGCCACATGGCTCAGTGGGAAACCGCCCGCCTCGAAGCCGAGGCCCGCCTCCGTCTTTTCTCCTCACCCTCCTCCTCTGCCGCCACCTCCGCAGCTACTCTAATTCCAACTGGTAATGCTGACAACGCTCAAGATGTCGACAAAGAGCCTGTTGATGTATTCCTTCGAATGTGGAACTCTGATGTAGGGAAGTCGTTCAGGAATCAAAATCCAGTTATTTTAGCACTGACGAATGGGGAGGAGTCAGGAGAGGCTGAGGCCTCCCCGTCATCGTGCAACACGAAGCAGAGCTCAGCGTTGACGGTTTCAGATGTGGATGAGATGGCGAAGGAGGAGAGGGTGAAGGAGGAGGAAGAGAGAGATGAGAGGGAGGAGGCGGAGTCGAGGAGGGAGGATGAGACGTTTCAGTTTTACTTGGATTTGGCTGGTGGTGATGATGACTTGGGCTTCTTTCAAACGAATCATCAGAGTTGCTACTCCTTTTTTGGGAGTGAGCTGAGTGAGGTTTCTCTTGATAATGATCCCTTTTAAGTGACTCTGTTTAATTTATGTGATGATGATAACACTGTCAGTTTTTTTTTTAATGTTTCTTTTCTGGGTTCAGGATTTAGGGCTTTGTTGTGGTAGTAGTATTAGTAGGGTTTAGGCTTTTGCTGGGAGTTTTAGTCTCCAGCTGAGCTCATGATACTAATTAAATGGATGATCATCGAGACGTGGTGTTTTGTATTGAGGATGATCCTTTTGTAAGTTCGTACTCACATGGTTATATGTATACATTTGACTTCAACATCATCATGTTTGATGACTGACTTCCAACTTCTTTGTAAGTAGTTAATTACGTGGTTATTTTCTTATGAGATCTTTTTGAACGTTCAAATTACAGTTTAAAAAAAATCTTTTTACTATGATTCTTGAACTCAAAGGAATTAACGCAAAAGAGAATGCCTCTCTCTGGCCCCCGTTTGGCAAACAGTTAAGAAAGAGAGGTTAAAAAAAAGGATTAATGTACTTAGCACATTTGATAATATGAAGGACTAAATTATTAACCCGTTAAATAAGTTTTACTTTAGTCATTATGATCAGTTTTAGTGTTTGAGAATAACAATGATTTTGATTATTTTCTTTATAATTAGAAGGGTTAACTCTTAATCCTTCTAAATATGAGTATTAGTAAACCCCTCATTTTGAGGGGTTAACTCATTTTAATCACTCTAGATGGATTAGCTTAACCATTCTATATTTTTTATGTTTGGCAAATTATGGAGGGTTAACTCACTTTAATCCTTATATAGGTTTTTTGTGTTTAGCAGGTTAAGAAGGGGTTAAGTCTTCTTAACCCCTCACTTAACCATTTGTCAAAGGGTACCTGAATGTTTAATTTATGTAGGATATTTTTTCGTCTAAAATGCTCAAGTCTTTGACAACTAGGACTCGTTTGTCAACTCATTCACTAACTTTGATAAGGCCACTAACTTAAATAAAAGCTTAAATTGATCTTGTCAAAAAAGAGGCTCTTATTTAGATTCTTGGACCACACCCATTTTATTCCAATGGCATCCTGGTCAAGGCCTAATTAATCAGATTAGTGTAAAGTTGTCATACACACCAGAATATTTGCATGAATGAGAATCAGTTTTGTCACAGAGATATAATGCGCAATTCACTAAGCTATAAAAGATACAAAGTCATACTGACCAATATGAGAGGATAGGATAACTATTTAAAAAAGTACTTGGTATTCAGCGCGCTCTCTCTCTCTCTCTGACAAAAGAAAATATCTAATTAGTCTAAATGAAAATGTTATTTATTATTTGTGTTATAATAAAATTACTCAATTAATGTATAAATTAAAATAATCTATACTACTTCTAAAAGAAAAAACAAGTGTCAAAACTTTTGCATACCCATTTTACCCCTTTCAATTTGATTAATTCTATTTTTATCCCCATAATTTATGACTTATCTAAAAAAGTATATGATAATAATCAATTTATCAATTAATACATGTCCTTTCCTCTGCCCCTCCAACCCTTGCGCCTCTCTCCCCCTGCCTTTTCACCTCCGATCTCCGATTATTTCGTTTCTCAGCCATTGAAAAACGGATGAATCCCTCCTCCCTTCACTCCCACCCGCTCCCTCATTTAAAATCCTACTCTCCTCCCGCTCGCTCCCACGATACCCGCCATCCTGTCTATTTCATCTTACTATTTTTCGATTCTTGTCGTTTCTCATCTCGATTATCAGTTTCTCACCCCGCCCCCTCCGCTCTTTCGCTCTGATTCTTCGATCGCCCCCCCCCCAACTTGCCTCATATAATAGCGTAGTGCTTCAGTTTTGACGGAGCAAAGACGTCGCTTTTGGAGTTCACGTTTAATTGAGGTTGGTTGTTGTTATAATTCACTTATGATTTACTTAGAGCATGTTTGGATTTGTAGGGGTGAAGGGAAGTTAAGGGAAACTGAGTGAAGGGAAGGGAATGGAAGGGAATGGAGTTCCCTTCCCCTTGGTTACACCCCAATTTGGGGGGTAACAATTTTTATACTATTAGGGGGTGAACCAAGGGGAACTAGGGTGAATTAACTTTACCTCCTAAGTGTTCCCAAACAAGGTGAATGGAGGTGAATGGTTCCCCTAACTTCCCTTCACCCTCATTCCCCTCAATCCAAACAAGCCCTTAGGTTCTAATCTATTTTGGTTCTGATCTATTGCGGCTCTGAATGTGGATTTTTCTTGTGTGTTTAATTTCTATTATGCTTGCTTAATTTCTTCTATGTTATTTTCTTTTCCTTTTTTTTTTTTTTTGCTTTTTGATCTAACCTCCAAAATATTTGCACTTGTATAATGAGCGTGTGTATATATATCATTTTTAATAAAGAGTAGAATAGGAAAAAATAATTTAAATATAATTTAATAGATACGAATACATAGTTAATATAGTTTAAAAATAAAAAATTTAGAACAAAGTAAAAAAAAATCACTGGTCAACCCACGACGTGGGTCGGGCCTGACCCGGTCCGCCCCTTGGTGCGTTGTGGGCTAGGCCGAGTTCAATCCCAAACTCAGGCTCATAGAAATAGGATTGACTCATTCTGGCTTGGACGGGCTTGGGTCGGATCCTGCCCGACCTTGAACCCGACGGGCCGGGTCATGGGCCTGACTGGCCCGGCCTACGCCCACCCCTACCATGGATAAAGTAGTATCATGTAACACCCCTTTATCCAAAGGGGAGCTGGAGTATGTAATATCTAGTCATGAGTTTTTACCTTTTCCCTTCTTTTCACAAAATCAACTAGAAAAGTTCTTCTTTTTTCACCTCAATAAGATTTGTATGCTTTTAACCCCCGATGATGGAGGAAAGTCTAAACTAGGTGAGCGGCGTGAGCCTTTAACTACTATTCTCATGTGATGAGATAAGAAGTTTGTTTTGATGTAAGTTGGGTCCAAGTCGTTTCTAATATATGCCATATTAATTGAAGTTACTAAAGTGCAATTACATATTTAATAATATTATTAATTATGAGATTATGTACTTTTTGAAAATCTGAAAACTCATTATCAAGATAGTTGTATTATTTTGATTATTAATTATATGGTGATACTACTTTTTGTAGATCTTGGATACGCCATTGAAATGGTCTTATTGACGATGAAGCTTTTAAAAATAGGCTTCGATGCTCTAAACAATTGATTTTGGAGCACTGATGACATGTTTAGTAAATTTATACTCTCTCTCATTCCACTGTTTAAGGGTGAGACGGTTTTGGGCGTTCCACGTACACCTAAAATTATAAATGAGTAGAAGTTTGCTACATGGACCCAAAATATGGGACCAATAGAGGGGACAAGTGAGGTGTTCCCCTCCTATTGGATAATGAGTTGGCTATCATTAATGATGACCAACTCATTATCCAATAGGAGGGGGACACCTCACTTGTCCCCTCTATTGGTCCCATATTTTGGGTCATTGAGGAATTTTTCATTTTAAAAATTGAATGTATCTTTAAAAGGGATAAAATCTAATCTTTGAAAATAGTTAATTATCAGACTGATTAGTATCCTGTAAATCTTCTATGGAGTTTCCTTATACCTATATATTTTTAATCTCATGACAATATACCCTATTTGTATCACATTGTTTTCTATCTATTTATGTCATATGTCAATAAAAACCCATTTTTGAAAAAAAAAATCAATAGGAAAACCTGTAATTAATTAATTTAACATAGAAAAATTATGTTTTCATAATCATGAAGGGAGAAAATTATGAAAGACATCACGATTTCAATAAATTATTGATTGACAAAATTATTTTTGTATCACATAAATTCTTCTTAAACGTTTTAAAATTTTAAAAATTAATAGAATAATACGTTGTCTTCTTGGATTTGGCAAGTAAACGGGAAGGTGAAAAAAATATGGAAGAGGATAGGAGACGGTTGTGAGAAAGAAGAAAAACAAATTAAACGAGGAATGGCCAAAATATCCCTTATATTTTCAACATTTTTTTTTTCATTATTTAAAGTTGAAGTAAATTCCTACTTTCGAAGCACCAGTGCGATGCTTCTAAAGATGCTCCATCGGCAAAAACAGTCAATAAAAAAATACCAATCTCGTAAATTAGCCTTTTCCTTTCGTTCAAAGTTTAGGAAAGGGTAAAAGTGTCAAATGGCGGTGGGGTAGTAATTAAATGAGGGAGAGCAGACCAGGCCTCCCTGCCCTCAACTCTGAACTCATGTGATCGAGCATCAACAAATAAGGGTTCATTAAATACGCACTCGAAGCCAGGCGTACGAGTAACGAGAGCCATGCACCCCTCCCTCGCAAGGACGACGACACAGACGTCAATCGGCGGAGACGACACGCACAATACAAGCGGCGCCTCTTTAATTAATTGCTTCATTTCACGCTCAATTTTTTTTTTTTTTTTTCTTTCGCCCTCCCTTCGATTTTTCAAATGAAATGATGCAGACAACTATCTTTCACAAACAACGAAGAAGAGCAGGACCCAGAAAAAGCCCAACAGGAAAAGAGAACAGCAGACGCTTCTACTACCACCCTTGAATCAAGAATTGTTTGATGAATAGTCTTCATTTATTACGGATCCGCATGTGATATTTCTGCATATTTGATCCAACTGCATTGCACATGTACATATTGTTCACAAGAAAACAGCCATCATATTCTAAGTTTTTGGATTTACTCAATAAATGAAAATATTCGAAGTTTGGGAACTACTGTAGATGATGAGAACTCAGAGAATGGTCGGTGACCGACGGACGGATCACAAGGCCTACAGTGTTCAGGGCCGGCCCCGAGCTTTGGGTTGCCCTAGCCCAATCCAATTTTGGTTGCCCCTTATATTAAAAATTTGGTACGAACAATAACGATAAAAATGAATACATATAATACAATTTAGCGTTCTATATTGGGCTCAAACTGATAATATTCTCATGCAAAATCAATATTCATATAAGAAGAGATTACATTTGTGCTACAATTCCCATCAAAGAAAAATACTTCTCCTTGAATTTTTTGAAGCGAATTCTTCAATTAAGTCATCATACTCAAGTTTCTCTAAGTATTCATTTTCAATTGATATCATTGCCAATCCATTCAATCGTTCCTGTGACATGGTAGTGCGAAGATAACTTTTTATTAATTTCAACTTGGAAAAACTTCTCTCTGCCGAGGCAACTGTAACTGGGATAGTTAACAAAATCCGATAAGCAACCCATGCACATTGAAAGCCACCATCATCCCAATAAGATCTTATGAAGTCAAGGATGTCTATTGATTTAGTCACTTTCTTCGGCAACATTGTTTGCAAAGCTCGTAGGTCATTGAATAAATCTTTCCCATGTATATCACATTGTTGGTTGTGTTCCAAGTATCTTTGTAATTTAATGCAATGTTCCATTAATTTTTCTTCACCAATACTCATGAACTTTGCATTAAACAAAAAACCAAAGATTTCTTCATAGAGCTCGAATTGTTCAAAACGATCTTTGAGTGATGTAAGAGCTTGATCAATAATGTGGAGGAAATAGGAAACTCTAAAATTATCCTCCGGTGATTGACTACCTTCCACATTCGCTTCCACATCCTCATCAAAATGCTTCTTTCTACGAACCACTCTTTTTATCGGAAATGTCGGATCGATACCAACATCATTAGCAAGTTCATTGGCTTCTTTCATCATGTTTTCAAAACCATCTTCTCTAAACTTTTGAAAGAAAACAATAAGCTCGTTTATTCTTGTAATTGCATCCTCCAAATTCATCTCTTCTTGTTGAAGAACTTTGCTAACTCGATTGACTTTATCTAAAATCTTATACCAAATACACAAGCTAATCAAGAACTCAAAATCCTCCAAAGCATTTTTACACAAGCCTTTAGCTTCTGCCATCACAATGTCCTCTTTAGAACTATTTGCAATTTCAATCAAAGCGTCTCTCAACTCTGGTGCTTGATATCGGATTGCTTTAACACTTTCAACATGACTTTCCCAACGAGTAACCGACAATGGCTTTGGTGTCAGACCCTTTACATATGTTTTAAGAACATCCCACAGATGTGTTGATCCAGCAAACAAAGTGTAAACCTTTTGCACATATGCAAAAAAATTTCTAGCTTTGACACAAGATTTTGCCATATCGCATAGTGCAAGGTTTAAGCTATGGCACCCACATGGTGTATAAAAAGCTCGAGGATTTATGTCAAGAAGTCTTCTTTGTACACCTGTAGACGGTAAAAAAATACCTCTAATAAGCCTACAGGAAATTCGCCCACAAGAAGTCGCCTGCCTAAGCCACATGGTCGTCAAACGTGCTCGGTTACAGATTCGCCTGAATAATCGACTCGCCTGCACGAGTTGAGGCCACATGGTCGTCAAACGTGCTCGGTTACAGATTCGCCTGAATAATCGACTCGCCTGCACGAGTTGAGGTCAGTTGGAATAGCAGAAGTTCGCCTTTCACGCGACTCGCCTGCCCGAGTCCAAAGTCGAATCCGCCTGCAAACCTCCAGGCCATCAGTACAGCTGGGTATCCGCTACCCCACGTACGGAGATAGGCTTTCCCACCTCTCTCGACCTGAAGGGAGAGGGCACAGTACTCCAAGACCGCCAGGCGGCCACTCACAGTACTTGCAGCGTGAAGGACTGGACAGGTGTCGAGTCGACCTGAACAGTCATAAATGCGACTCACATCGGCTATCTAAGTCGGGAGACGAATCCACCAGCGTTCGGCGAACTGTCCAAACCCACTCGAGTACCAGGAACACGCTTTCCCGCCTCTCTTGGCCTGAAGAGAGAAGACACTGTACTCCAGGCCCGCCGAATAGCCGCCTACAGTACGAGTGAGCAGACAGGTGTCAAAACAGCCTGCACCCTCATAAATGCGGCTCACCTCAGTTGTCCAAGCAAGAGGACGAGAGTCGCTGGCGCTCGGTGTTTGGTCAGATCCACGCAAGCATCTGACAGCCGTTGTCACGCATACGAGGAGGGGCTTTCCCACTCTTACGAAACGTGATACAGAGCGCAGCTTCTCGAATGACCGCTGACGGTACGAAGGAACAGCGGGACGTCTCCAAACAATGTATGGTCACATCCCATAATTCAAGGAGTAGTCAAGCTGTCCTTCTTCCATTTAAAAGCCTCTTCCAGCACACTGGAGCAGAGGTCGCAAAACTTGGAGAAAAGTAATTAAGACCAAGCTGTTAGCAGATCCTTGCATTACAGCACCACTGCCTAGTTCCGAGCTCCGATCGCCGGCGAACTAAGCAGACCCGAACTCCATCGATTCGAGCTTCTACTGCGAACTGAAGCTCTCCAGCAACCTCGATCGAACGGTCCAAGGGAAGCAGACTCGACACAAGCATCGAGCGAAGCGTCCTATAGCCACCTAAAGTCCCCACACAAAACAAAGAGGGCATTCCCTCTGCTTCTGTTATAACCATTTGATTATTAGTTTGTAATAAGCTTTCTTATTAATACAAACGAACACTCCCGGTTTTCGGGAAATCAAATTTACACCATACAACACCTTGATGTTTACCTTTCATATTTGACCCATTGTCATAACCTTGACCTCTTATATCATCAATGTTAAGATTAAGTTCATTTAAAGTATCTTCATCTTCCCAATTGCCTAATTAGCAATATCATTATTATTAAAACAAACCCTAATTCATTCCAAAACATCATAACCCCTAATTTAATTCTTCAACTAAGATACTAAGATTCAACCAAGATTACCCCTAATTTAATTCTTCAACAACTAAGATTCAACCAAGATTCAAAATCAAAATCTTAATTTCATTGCAAAACATTAAACATAAAAACCCTAAATTTCTGTCCAAAAAAACCCTAAATTTATTTAGTTAAAAATTTTTACCTGATGGGGTGAAGGATGAGTCTGATGGGGTGAAGCTTGAAGACGGGTCGTCGGAGGCTCGCCGGCTCA